TCAGAACTTGAACATGCGATGTCCGCGTCTGTGTCAGACTAAGGGCCTATAAAATGTTTAGCAACACTGGGGCGTAATAACCATAGATCTTCTCCAAACAAGGGAATATACATCTTGTGAGAATGACTTTTTCGAAAGGGAAATTTACAGCAATGCGACATCACAATTACTTACGTGATATTTACTCGCAATCTGAGTTATGGATCGTCAGTTTAAACAGGACAATATAGACGAATTTCACAAAAGGCACGGAGATCCAACATGTCTATGATATACTCAGAGAACGCACCCGCCTGTGCTATCCGGTCATAATCGCTACTCGATAAAAACAATTTTTCATTTCATGTCTCACAGAATATATAATTTGATATGGCATTGTTTCTTATTGTATACTTTTGCGTTAGTGAAACAAACTTTAAAGTTTATGTATGGCGTTATTACAGCAAAGGCCGAGCGAATGGAAAATAACATGGTTCAGGCACTGTGAGACTATTAAAGAAGGTCACATGCAGTGCAATAATATTCCAATTATGTACTGCCACAAAATATTTTACAGTAGATGCGCGAGCTGAACAGACTTAAGAAATTACGAGTTGGTTCGTGTAGCATATTTGACTGTGCTCCAAGAGAGACAAAGCGCTATTCTTTGGGGGCAGCTAGAGACACTTGCGAGGACAAAGGGGCAACGCATCGCCCTTTGTTCACCACTGAACCTTTCAATCCCTCGAAACATGCACCTCACAAGATTTGCCGACACCACAGACAAGGCGTAACTGATACTGGTAGCAAGAGCGAGTGCAGCTTAATAAGGCGTGTTAGCTTGCGTAATACCGCTTTCTTTGTCAGGCTCTTTGGTGATAAGAATATTGAGGTCACGTGAACGTTGATTTCAAACGTACTAAAATGTGTGAAAGTGAAATTACATGAGCCAAGTAATTCACATGATGAAAACATGATCATCTTGCTTGAGTACAGGTAACATGATGGTGTATGAACCGTTCATATACATACCCCTGAAATCCGGTATGATACATAAATATCTAAGGTGTGTAAACATTTGCAAATTTGAAAATTTACATGTGTTTTCCCACCTAAGTAAATTCACATGTTTCCAACCCGAGTAAACTTAGAACGAAATCGGAAATTTATACACCAATTGAAATTCAAAGGAATGCATTGGAAATACTGTATCTGTTTTGCAATTCATATTTGGAAATCCCTGACAATCCGGTCAGGGCATACATGAACGAGGTGCTTGTGTATACGAAAATGTACGATGAGCATATGTTTCAAAGGTATAGATTCATATGAAATATATGCCCGAAGTTAGGAAATATCTGAAAACATACGTAAACCCGGTCATGGCATGTATTTCCTACTGTATTTACGTTTATTTCAATGGTTTACTATCCGGTTTTTGGTGCTGTGTCAGTATAAGTCGTGTCCTGTCATGATTCAGTATAAGTCGCCATGCCATGATTCAGTATAAGTCGTGTCCTGTCATGATTCAGTATAAGTCGTGTCCTGTCATGATTCAGTATAAGTCGTGTCCTGTCATGATTCAGTATAAGTCGTCATGTCATGATTCAGTATAAGTCGTGTCCTGTCATGATTCAGTATAAGTCGTGTCCTGTCATGATTCAGTATAACTCGTCCTCTGTCATAAGAATCACACAGATTATGTGAGTTAAGGATGCTTCCCTGTGGAGTTCTTCAAGTGAAAATATTTTATAGATGAAATCAGCTCACGCGATTTGTTCTACGTATATTGACTTTTTGATAAGTGTTTTGAAACAGGGAAATAATATGAGAAGTTCCGGTTGCAGTGAGACATAATCGCCTGTTGAGTGTGTCATTACTCCATTGTTTGACATCCTTTTTCGTACGGGACTGTATTGGTTTATAAGGATGGATGGTTTTAAACCAGACACATTCTACTTTGATTTGAGTACGATCCCGTTGTGGGTGTTTATAAGTCTTGGACGTGGGTGTGAATATGTGTGACTCTATGTGAGCAGTAGGAGTATCTGTGAGTATATGTGAATATGTGTGAGTGTTTGTTAGTATGTGTGAATATATGTGAACATGTGTGAATATGTGTGAATATATGTGAGTATGTATAAGTATATGTGGGTATGTGTGAGTGGGTGTATGTGTCAGTGTAAGTGTGTATATTTGTGAATGTGTGAGTATATGTGAGTATGTGTGAGTTTATGTGAGTATTTGTGAGTATGGCAGAAGCTTGATTATTTCTACAACCATGTACTTAATTGCGGTGCACGGTATTGCCATGTCGAAACATCCATAGCCATTGTGTCCAGGTATAAAGTTATCTCTACCCCCATGTATCGTGTAATAAAATATACTTGCCCGCAGAGCTCCAGATAACATTTAGCTTATGTGGGTACTGTACCCACTGTATTTGTTTGGAGTGGGTATTATGAATGTTGAGTGGGTATTTCATTTTCCGTTACCCACTGCTTTCAAATATGTGCGTATTTCAGTCATTTTACTCACCTAAGTATTATGTCATTGAGTAAGTTATCTAAGCAGGTATGTTCTGCCTCATGTCATACCTAATCAAAATTAACTTAAATATAATGGAAATGATTTCATAAAAAATCACTCATCCTATACTGACAGTACAACACTAGTCCTATACTAACAGTACAACTTGATAGCAATCGATGTCTTTTTCATTACGCAAGCTATTTTTACAAATAAATTCCGTACGCAATTGTTTGAAACTTTTTGCGCATCTAACATTTTAAATGCTTAATTGGTCCGCAACAATTACTTTTCAATGCGTATTAGGAAATTTTCTATGCGTATTTTACCCGGATACGCAGCTTATCTGGGCCTCTGCTTGCCCTGGTCTATTCTAGTTGCAGCAAATGGTTGCTTGAGGCAATTGCCAGTATTCAAGCGTGTCTATTGTCTAGAGTGTAACCACAAGTCTAGAACATGGAAGTGCACCGTTGAGCTGAGCTAAGGCATAAACAACCCCGACGTTCCGTGTCACTGGTTCTTGTCCATTATGATTCATCTCACTTTAACGATAATGCACAGTCGTCACTTTACACCTTTTAGCGAAAGTTTTTAAGAGGATCGATGTATATTTTTATTTATGCCGCGACTGACACGAGATTTAGCTGTGTAGTGCGATGTCACGTGACCAACTGAAACCCATTTCCAATATAGATGGATGATGTGAGCCAAGTGCAGATGCACCAAACGTGATGGGTGCTTTGCACGCTCTCTGCCAAGCGATTGTGTATATCAAAACATAGACTCGACCTTTGTCATCCCCTGTCATGATTCAGTATAATCGTCCCCTATCATGATTCAATATATGTCGCCATGTCAGGATTCAGTATAACTCGTCCCATCATGATTCAGTATAAGTCGTCCTCTGTCATGATTCAATGTAAGTCGTCTTCTGTCATGATTCAATGTAGGTCGTCCCATCATGATTCAATGTAAGTCGGCATGTCAGGATTCAGTATAACTCGTCCCATCATGATTCAGTATAAGTCGTCCTCTGTCATGATTCAATGTAAGTCGTCACATCATGATTCAGTATAAGTCGTCATGTCAGGATTCAATGTAAGTCGTCATGTCAGGATTCAGTATAACTCGTCCTCTGTCATGATTCAATGTAAGTCGCCCATCATGATTCAATATATGTCGCCATGTCATGATTCAGTATAAGTCGTGTCCTGTCATGATTCAGTATGAGTCGTCCCCTTTCATGATTCAGTATAAGTCGCCCTCTGTTATGATTCAATGTAAGTCGTCTTCTGTCATGATTGAATGTAAGTCGTGTCCTGTAATGATTCAGCATAAGTCATCCCCTGTCATGATTCAATGTAAGTCGTCTTCTGTCATGATTCAATGTAAGTCGTCCCATCATGATTCAATATATGTCGCCATGTCATGATTCAGTATAAGTCGTGTCCTTTGATGATTCAGAATAAGTCGTCCTCTGTCACGATTCAATGTAAATCGTCTTCTGTCATGATTCAATGTAAGTCGTCATGTCATGATTCAGTATAAGTCGTCCCGTCAGGATTCAGTATAACTCGTCCTCTCTTATGATTCAATGTAAGTCGTCATGTCAGGATTCAGTATAACTCGTCCTCTGTCATGATTCAATGTAAATCGTCCTCTGTCATGATTCAATGTAAATCGTCCTCTGTCATGATTCAATGTAAGTCGTCCTCTGTCATGATTCAATGTAAGTCAGCCTGTCATGATTCAGTAGAACTCAACTCATGCTTTGTTCTCTCGTGGTCCAGTACAACTTGACCTCTCCGATATTTGACTATAATTTGACCTCTGTCATGTATCCTTATATTCTGTCGTATGTGATGTTTCAAGGAATGGAGTATGTGTTGTTCACGTTCCGTCAGCCGTGGAATACCGCCCGGAAGGTCTGCAGGGGCCACGGTGGTCGTCTGGCCATCTTGGACACAGTGGAGCAGCTGGCCAGCATCAGGAACCTGTCTGAAGGGCTTTGGGGATACGAGTAAGTCAAATATAATAGTGAGTGAGCATGGTTTAACGCCGCTTTTAGCAATATCCCAGAAATATCACGACAAGGAACACCAGATATGGGCTTCACACAAATACTCATGTGGGGAATCAAACCCGGGTCTTCGGCGTGACGAGCGAACGCTTTAACCACTGGGCTACCCCACCACCCCTCAAATATAATACTGTTCTTTGATCTCGACAGTCTTTGAACAGTATTTTGATGCTGACACTGGCGTGCCAAACATCGCTTGTCCAGCAATATGCCAGCAATATAATTTTCACTGTCTCCTACATATCCAAGTGTTACCTTTATTGTATTTGATATGCGTTGTAACGAACATATATCAGTGGTCCCATTGGGTTCTGTTTAACCGGAGTTAATGGATTTGTATGACATCTAATTCTGTGTTGTTGTTGTCAACAGATTCCAATACAGGTGGGCTGGGCTCCAGGTGAATCAGTCTATGTTGCTGTGGGAGGGTACCTGTGAGGAGCAGGATCTGTCTAATGCGTCACTGGCTTTATTCAACTCGAGGTATGCCGAGTCTCCCGGATTCACTAGTGGCCAGTGTTTCGTACTGCCCTCGGGGCAACATGTGCTGTCCGATCACCCCTGCGACCACGATCATCCCTTCATATGCGAGCTGCATGCAATAGACGGAGGTATGCGGATCCGTGTCAAGTCAAAACATTGATTACACAAGAGTCTCGTTTCCTGTTGACTGGGTTTCGTCCTATTGCCCAAATTAGTACAATAACCAGTCCAGAATTTTGAGACCAATTTTTTAACTGGATACATAAATATTAATCAGTATTATTTGATACATCTAAGCACTTTTTTATCGCTCCGTATAATCCATGCAAACATGGCGTGCAGCGTGCTCTGTCGTACAGCGGGCACTGACAAACAGGAACCTGGAAATCGTGGAAATCTCAAAACGAGGCTCTGCCGCTAGAAAAATTTGGCGGTCTGGTACGAACTTGATATTATATCAATCACATTGTGCGTTACAGAACTACAGAGGGCATGCGTTCTTTGACGTTGGGAAGGCAGGTTCAGTCCTCTGGAATGAACTTGCAGGTCACATACAGCAAATCACTGACTTTCAGACATCCAGCAGAGGCAAATATTGCCTGTCCTTTGAAGGTTATCATTATGTTTGGATGACCTTCTCCATGTAAATTTTCTTTCGAGAAAAAGAAAAAGCGAATGTCGTATTTATGGCGATACTGCCCTGATTATCTCGGACGTGGGTTTGACGCCGATTTACACAGTACATTCCAGTTATATTACGGCGTGATGGTCACATGTCAGTCACAAGGTCACAGATCAGTTGAAGGTAAGCAATGTTGGTCACAGAAAGTCCATGGATGGGTGACCGTTTTTGGCATCTTGACTCCTGAGAGTTTCTAAAACTTCAGTCCTGCCCCACAACGAAGCACACGTGGCATATGTGGTCTCACCTTAGGCAAGTGAGTTTGTTCAAAATTGTCTCTGTAACCCAGCAGTGAATGGATACCCGGTAGCATAACATAGTCATATGACTGTTAACTTACGCGTCTCTACAAATGTATTATATGATAGTATTATGTATGGGTTAACGATACATGTCAGTGGCCGAAGATCCAGGTTAGATTCCCCACATGGGCACAATATGTGAAACCCATTTCAGGTGGCCCTGTGGTGATTTTGCTGAAATATTGCTGAAAGCGGCGCAAGACAATACTCACTCACTTAAATCGGTGAGGAAACGTGGGCGTCAAACAGCGACTTTTGTGATGTAAACCATCACTGGTATCATATGTCAACAGTGGCTTGTCTGTATCTCAGCTATCCGAGCCTCCAGGCTCTATCGGTAACACTTCCATAGGGGTTCCGGGTAGGTACAAGCAGCCAGCAAGCACGTCACTAGCAACATGTGGTGGCAGTCAGGTGGTCAGGTCACGATGTGGATTGATGTTCATAATACTAATCACTGGATTAACTGGTCAGGATTCCGCTGTCAGACCTCATCTTGTCTTTATTCCAGTGTCAATAAACAGCCAGAATACCACAGGATACATGGAAGAGGGAGACGATTCCAAGGCGGCCCATCAGTGTGAACCGGCAGTCTTGGACGGTATGGGCTTACATGTTGTACTAGTCCTTTCACAAAGCACTAAGGTGATCGTAAGTCTCTAAGGTAACCTTACTGCAATGTTAAGAATGGGAATTAAGGTTAACCTCAGTAAAGGCTGCTTCGTGAAAGGAGACCCTGGTTTATAGCCACTGTCTGTTCCACATGAGCTAATGGCTATCAGAAGATGATTAATATTTTCAACAGGCTTTGCAACGTGCAGCTCGGAAGATATGCATGTCACGAATACCATAACAAAAATAAATAGTCATGATCTCAAGATTAATATTCAATGTCATATTCTTCCTCAAAATAAGTTTTATAAAATGTCTAAACTCTTGCATTATGTAAGTGAACTGTTTTTGGTGAACAAGTTAAGAGGTAGAAGTATTCTCATCGTCACAAGGCTGAATAAAAAACATCCGAGGTTGAGAGTAATTTCATTGGATTTGAATTTGTTTGTCAGGTGGTGGTCAGTGTGTACATGTACTCATGTTTTGTGTTGTCTGGACACTGCAGGACAAACAACTACTGAGATGGACCAAACAACTACTGAGATGGACCAAACAACTACTGAGATGGACCAAACAACTACTGAGATGGACCAAACAACTACTGAGATGGACCAAACCACTACTGAGATGGACCAAACAACTACTGAGATGGACCAAACAACTACTGAGATGGACCAAACAACTACTGAGATGGACCAAACAACTACTGAGATGGACCAAACCACTACTGAGATGGACCAAACCACGCAAGTGACTTCTGTTCCTACAGATGAAACCTCTTCGCCGGCTAACGATAACATCGGGGGTCTAATCGAGGCTTCTTGGCCAGCAAACGATATTTTTGTGGGTGCTGACGAGAATACATCCCCAGCGAACGATCAACATGTGGATGCAGTCGAGACTTCTTCGCCAGTGATTGTTAACTATTCGGATGAGGTGACTTTTGTTCCTTCAGATGTAACTCCTTCGCCAGCGATCGATCAACATGTGGAGGCAGACGAGACTTCTTCGCCAGTCATTGTTAACTATTCGGATGAGGTGACTTTTGTTCCTTCAGATGTAACTCCTTCGCCAGCGAACGATCAACATGTGGAGGCAGACGAGACTTCTTCGCCAGTGATTGTTAACTATTCGGGTGAGGTGACTTCTGTTCCTTCAGATGAAACTCCCTCGCCAGCGAACGATAACTATTTGCGTGCAGATGAAACCACTTCGCCACCGATTGTTAACTATACGCGTGAGGACGAGACTTCTTCGCCAGCAAACGACAACTCTGGGACAACATACAACATCGTAGACAGTGCAGACAGCACCCCTCGGGCGACAGAGAGCCAGGTCTGTAGAGAATATAATATCCCTGTAATGAGCGAGAAGGAACTGGGGGCCGTTCTGGCAGCTATCGCAAAAGAGTTGGCCGTGGACAAGGAGAACCTGTCCAGCCGTGTTCGGAAGAAGGTCAGTGCCCATGACCACAGACCATCCGCCGCCAGTATTGGATACGTAGCTGTCTTCATAATATCCATTCCAGTCTTTGTTATCCTCGTGTTAGATATACCCCGAGCTGTTCAGCAGATCAAGTGTGTGTTCTTCACTATCAAAACCAAGGGCAGGCCAACTCGAACGGCCAAGTTGGTTTAACTGTATGACTCGGTTGCCTATTAAGAAAGTTGTATTTTTCATATTTTCTATGGACAAACAAACGTCACACAAACGTTTTCAAAGAGTTCAACGATCGCCAAATGTGACTAAATCTAAATCTCAGTATACTGTACCCAATTTGATAACAACATTTAGCATGATGTTTGTGGTGCACAGGAATGACATCAATATACATAGTGGATCATCCTGGACTTGGACGCAAGGAGTACCTGCTTCAAGTTATCCATCATGCTAGAGGAGGAACTTCGGGATGTTTAAGTCACTATTACTTCAGAACATGGTTGAAGTGTCAATCGCAGGCAATCATTTGATATTGAAAGATGCGGCAATAAAATACCATAGACGCCCGAAAGCGCGTAAACGCACTTCACTCACAGTTGAAACAGTGTTGGTGATCGTGTGTGTTGTTATATGTGTGTGTACATGTCTCTCTCTCTCTCTCTCTCTCTCTCTCTCTCTCTCTCTCTCTCTCTCTCTCTCTCTCTCTCTCTCTCTCTCTGTCTCTCTCTCTCTCTGTGTCTCTCTCTCTCTCCCTCTGTGTTTGTCTCTCTCTCTTTCTCTCTCTCTCCCTCTGTGTTTCTTCTCTCTCTCTCTTTCTCTCTCTCTCTCCCTCTGTGTTTGTCTCTCTCTGTGTGTGGATTATACCCCCAGATGGATTGTTTCCGATCAATACAATGTTATACGGTAACACTGACAAACAAGGCTCAGATCACTTGTCCAAAATAGTGTGGTTCGTGGTTTGGGCAAAAGGGAAAGTCGGCGATCGCCATGTGACCCTAGCCTGGTACTGTTATATGATATCATGTCTGAAACTTTAGACTTGAACATGACTGTTTGCAGTGTAACAGAAAGATATCTGCTCTATATGTTATATCTGTATAACACCTGCTCTATATGTTATATCTGTATAACACCTGTTCTATATGTTACATCTGTATAACACCTGCTCTATATGTTACATCTGTATAACACCTGCTCTATATGTTACATCTGTATAACACCTGCTCTATATGTTACATCTGTATAACACCTGCTCTATATGTTACATCTGTATAACACCTGCTCTATATGTTACATCTGTATAACACCTGCTCTATATGTTATATCTGTATAACACCTGCTCTATATGTTATATCTGTATAACACCTGCTCTATATGTTATATCTGTATAACACCTGCTCTATATGTTATATCTGTATAACACCTGCTCTATATGTTATATCTGTATAACACCTCCTGCTGTAACGCCGTCAATCATAATCTACCAAAGAGTGGTAACATTTCTGTTCAAATTCTGTGTGAATCAGTGTGGAATAACAATTTTATGTTTAATATTAATTTTATTTTATGGTATAACACATTCTGTAATTTGCTCTCAATTCACTCTTTATCTTCAACAGGAAAAACGTTCTTCTTCCTCGTTGTTCTATATATACACCGTACTTACTGATACCCTTCATGTTTACCCATGTTTACCTGGTTCTACCTGCACATATACACTCTGATAGTCACACCCGACAGAGAAGGCTATATTTGTTTATATCCACCCACACTTGCTACCGTGCTTTATGTATTATGGGCAACATGATTGTACAGACAGTGGAGGTATTTTTCGGCGTATCCGCGGCTACAATCTACACCAGTCGCAGAGACAGCGTCAACTTTGGGACTGCGAATATCCCAATTTTTATAGTTAATAATGAACCAAACACTGGATATGTGGAGTTATTTGATAGGGATGGTTCTGACACGGGCGTCATAGTTTTGGACACCACCTCCGCAGTGATTCGGCATGTAGACATTTTGAAAACTTTGGTTATTTGTCAAGACCGCCTTCAAGAGCAATGATGACAACTTTTTGTTATTGGAATGAAGTAGCAATTGCATAGAGTCCATGGAAATATTGAGTCTTATTCGCACGAATGCTCATTTTAGTAATGTACCACATTCGTCTCCGCCTTGACGACAGGCACATTGTTTGTACATGTTCATATTCCGTTCCCGTCTGTGAATTCTGTTTATTAACAGTGGAAAATACTGTTAATAAGTGATTAATTACCAAAATATGCTGTCGTGCGAATCGATATTATTATGGAATCCTGGCAATTCCTACTTTATTTCAATAAACATAATATATTGTTCGTATCACAAACGTTGAGCGGTGTAACATGTTGGTTGAGAACTGATACAGCAACCCCCAGCGACAGAGTTAACGGTAGAACGGAGAGTGAACCTTGTTTGTCCTGATCGCTCATGCGGCGAATTCCTTGCATGTTAAAAATATACACAGGATGAACGAGAGCGTCAAGTAGAAAACCATGACCTGGTTTGACAACCTCACACCTTGCCACGTGAGTCATACCTACAAAATGTACTTTACCTGTGTCCCGTGATCGCAACCCAAAGCAGTATTGTGCTAGATGATGTCTACACTTTGCAAACCTCTACCACCTGCACCAATATGAGCCTAAACTTAAAAAAAGCTCTCATAAGACTTTAGTTATTGTTTCCAGAGGTCCGGGCTTTCGTATGACCTCTGATGAAGCTTAGGATTAACCAGGATTGATGACAGAATTAAATCTGAGTCGCTTGAATTGTTTTTTTCTTACATGTTTCAATAACACGTTCCTTTTGAAGATCAGGGTTACAATTAGTCTCGATAAACAATGCTCGCCAGGGATCGGATGGTCAGGCTCGTCGACTTCGTTGATATACAACATCGTATCTCAATCACTAAGATCGATACTCATGATGTCAATCACTCGATTGTCTACTGCAGGTCGATATTGCTGGTAATATTCATGTACTATTACGACGGGGGACACAAGAAATAGGCTTCACACAAATCCGGGCTTTCAGCGCGCCGAGCGAACGCTTGAACCATTGTTTACCCCATTGCCCCTGTTTCTCTGTGCCTGATGAACTAAAAAATATTATATGTTATAGTCGCACGGTGTTTTAGGAATGCCATTATGTGTTTACCTATCATGTACATGGAAGATGGTAGCGGGTGGTATGACTGTGCATCTATCCCAGACGCGATCGACCTGCATAATGGCCCTCCGTCATCAAGATGCTATCATGGCGTTCACGAAGCAGCCAGATTGTATACATCTTCCCATGACCTCCTGACACGAAGGCATCCGGGTGTAACAAGCATGCAATGAATACCCGACTCGCTTCCTAACGAGATTATGTTAAAGATACAACTCCGAGAAATCAAACTGAATTAAATGTATGCAACAACATAAACACTATTTGACGTAAAAGGAAAATTTGTTAAATGTTGAAAATGACATGAATGGATCACTCGAAACCAGTGATATATACAGTATATTTAAATTGTTTTTATGTCATGAACTGGATCTATGTTTCTGCTGGTACACTGAGTGAAGCCAGTTTCATCGTTTGTTCGACCCGTGAAGATCCGGGATAGAATTGATGTTCCGTAACCCAGGCTTGTCGTAAGAGGCGACTAACAGGATCGGGTGGTCAGGCTCGCTGACTTGGTTGACACATGTCATCGGTTCCCAATTGCGCAGATCGATGCTCATGCTGTTGATCACTGGATTGTCTGGTCCAGACTCAATTATTTACAGACCGCCGCCATATAGCTGGAATATTGCTGAGTGCGGCGTAAAACTAAACTCACTCACTCACTCATCGTTTGTTCATTAGTATATATTTTGGTTAACTGCAAACGTTTGGCGCATGCGTATTCTTTTTACAAGCGGTGTCATCAATTATTTTCAGGCATTCATTCATGTAATTTAACAGCTGTTTTTCTCTTTGACCAAAGGAAATCTGTGTCTGGGGATAATGAAGACTGGGTATTCTATTGCTCTGACTTGTTTTCATATTTAAATGTATGAACTATAATATATTTTAGACAATTAGTAGGAAATCTTCAAGCAGTATTTTATAACTGTGCTATATTGTGACACATATGACGGTAAACACATACACTCCCCACAGGTACATTGTTTCGTAAAGTGATTTAGATTCACATAGCCCATGTATTTCAAAGTCACATAAAGGAAAAAGAGGAAATCTCGGTATAAAAGAACTTCAAAGAAGACCTCATATCAAAGGTAAACTATGTTGGTTGCTGCATTCAGCAATATTCCAGCTTTATGGCGGCGGTCTGTAAATAATCGAATCTGGACCAGACAAATCAGAGATCAACATCATGAGCCTCGCTCTTCGCAATTGGGATACGATGACATGTGTCAACCATGTCAGCGAGCCTGACCACCCGATCCCGTTAGTCGCCTCTTACAACGAGCATGGGTTACTGAAAGCCGATTCTAACCTGGATCTTCACGGGTAGGGAAACTATGTCCCTACAAGGTAAACTATGCCGCTTACAAGGTAAACTATATGACATTTACTTCTTCGCTTCCATTGCTGCATTGTTCATGTGTTGCACTGACAGAGTGTCGGTATATAATGTCACCACCGTAACGGTCCTATCACAGCCGTGTTCTTCTACGCCAGACTCTTCAGGTGCATCAAGACAGAAGTACTGCAGAGTATTTTTGTTAATAACTCTGCCTTAACAAAACATATAATTTATTACTAAGTGATTGTTTGAATTCATAACTGATTAATGGATTAAACCATTACTGACTGAGGTAATCAGTATGCTAAAGTGTGTGCAGTCAACCAGAAAATCTTATAAGCTGTGGAAGTTTTGGGAGGATAACCTTATATCTAATTGTTTAATCGGCATTTTAGAAGTTGGTGAGTCAAAAATGAAACATACAACTTTATGGATGACAACTTCTTGTTTATTGCTCAGAGTCGAGTACATGGAGGAGTCTACTAATGCCTACAGGGAATAACGCCTACAGTCTTATATAAACAACTTTACGCACCAATGGTTTTCAATTTTACTGCTTTCAACCTTTCATTAAAGTGGTATGTCCCATTTGAGTGTGCACTTTTGCCTACAGTAAAACAGAACAAAGACTTTCTATGTTGATGAACCATTTATAGTCCAGTCATCCTACTTCATGTACAATACAGCTCAA